CACTCGTCTCCTTCAGCTACAGGGTCTCCGCTGCACCTTCTACTATTACCAGCAGCCCTGTTCGTTTGTGTAACCCCCCCCCTCCCCCTCCCCCGGAGCCAGTCAGCTGTTCCGTCCAAACACCTCTCAGTGTGCGTGTGCGTGCGTGGGTATGTTTGTGTCCCTGTGTCTCTTCACTACACGCTGGAACCATGGCTGCCAGGATGGAGCTAGCGCCTCTCAGACCGTGGGACGACTTCTTCCCCGGGACGGACCGGTTCGCCAAACCGGACTTCGGGGATTTGACGAAATGGAACAACCGAGTGATCAGTAACCTGATGTACTACCAGACCAACTATTTCGTTGTGGCCCTGGTGGTTTTCATCATCGTCGGGTGAGTGGGTATGCTAACACAGCTAGCCTCTGTGGCTCCATATGTTTCATGAGCACACACACACACACACACACACACACACCCATCAGGAGCATGCAGGGTATGTCTGCAGCCATTGTTGTGCCAACGTTCAGTCGATGATGTCAGGAAGTCTCTGTTAAATCTGTCTTTTCGACATTTACCCTGTCAGGCCTATAAATATGTTCCTTCTTAATAATATCCACTAGTCATGTAAACACTGCTTCTCAAAATAGACCATCACTCACATCCTCAGTCCTCTTTATTTAGAATTTAATCATAATAGACTTTATTTATGAGGCACCTTGAGTTTACGAAGTGCTTCAACCAGGAAAAGCAAATATAAGAGAAATAACAATCAGCAGGATGCAATGTGACAAGGAGGCCAGACCTCCACAAACACGGGAGCGTTCACATTAAATGAATTAATATAGAGCTGTGTCACTTAAGAGCAGTGATGAGAAGTCAAATAAAAGGTGCAAAGAAAATGATTTAAAAAAAAAAAAAACACGACATCCCATGAGAGCAAGTCTATAAAAATGTGTTTTAAAAAGTGATTTTAAAGGAGTCACTGCCTCTGCGAGCCTCTTCTCCTCTGGTTGGCCGTTCTTAAGCCGAGGGGCCCTGAATTCTGTGATGTAGTTCGGAGCCAGACGCCCAGCATGCTGTAGAAGTGATCAGTACTAGTGTGTTAAAATCAATTCTAAAACCGACAGGGAGCCAAAGGAGAGAAGCACGGATCAGATAATACTGCATTAGCTTCTTAATGATCACATATCACTGTTGTTAGCTGGTTGTGGCTCAATAATTCATAGATCGGTTAGGATGAGTACAGGCCTTAGTGCAGGTATTGTGTTCTGGCCAGGAAGCTACCCATTGTTCTTACCACCAGCAGGTTGTGCTGTTAAATAAAAAGAGAATACCTCCTATTTGAAGTCCACATGTCATTTTGTTTGTGCTTCAATGCTCAGGTTCCTGAACCCATTCGCCATGTTCCTGGGGGGAGCCGTGGTGTGTCTGGTGTTCGGGGGTTCGGTGTGGGCAGGAGAGAACAAGGCCACCATCAAGAACTTCAAGAGGAAGAACCCCACCCTGTTTGTCATCGGGGTCATGGTCACCAGCTACTTTGTGCTGTCGCTGTGTGGTGGTGTCATGGTGTTCATCTTCGGAATCACCTTCCCCCTGCTGTGTAAGTGTCGGCACATTTAATATTTATTTTTTATCACCACAGGGGACTGTCAGATATCATAGGTGGGTCCGTTTAGACCGAGGACGGTTGCCAAGGTGTTTAGTTAGATTCTGTTAAGGTTCTACTGAAGAGGATCAAGACCGAAAGTTTTTATATCAATTAATTAAAACCAGGTTTCTTATTTAACTCAGTATTTAACCAAACAATTTACAACATAATAAAACTGACCAGGAAATAAAATATTTCAGTAAAATAAGTGGAGGAACCTAAACTAAAAAGCAAGAGAGCAAATGAAATCTTACTTGAAGGAATTGGACGTTGTATGCCAAATGTTAATGGGCAGGCTGTTTTGGTGGAAAAAATAAAACTCAGTGGAACTATACAGTCCTAGTGCCGCTCAGTTTGATTTATCCTCAGGAGATAGTTTTGTAAATCGTCTTTCTTTCAGCATTCTTTAGACAATTCAGCCAAAGCCAAGGTTATTTCTTCTTCTGTATCCTTGACATAAAAATGCAAAAGATCTTCTCAGATTGCCACAGATGCTATATGATATTGTTTAAGTTTTAACTTTCCGTCCGTACTGCAGATTGCAGACATGTGTTGGCTAACGCTACAGGATGAAAGCTGTAACTGGGGGTGGTGAGTCACTTAGGGATGCATGGCTGAGGTTTCTCTGTGGGTGAACAAATTTTTCCGAACGCTCTCAGTCTGACTCACTGTAGGAATTGAACAGTATGAGCAGTATCAGTGATCTGTATTCACTTATGACCCAGACTCTGAAATAATGTCAGCATTGCAGGGGTTAGGTTCTGAATTGTAGACGAGAGCTACAGATATGGAGTCAGGAGTTCAGCAGAGTGGTTAAGATAATTGATAGTTTGGGTTGTTAGAGCAAATATAGCAGCTCCAACATTGTGGCACAAAGACAAGGGAGCTTGATCACATCCCAAGACGACTGCCCACTGCTGTTTGTGTTGATCGGTTGCTATGTGTTGTTGATCTGGACAGAACCAAATTTACCGGCTGAGGTCATGCTGTCAGCGTCTGCCTGACATGGGAATAAAAGATATGCCTGTCCCCCTCACCCCTGCCGCCAAGTCCGGGGTCGCTGCACTATCGCGTTTTGTTTTGTCATTTTTTTCAAAGATGTATTCCAGAGAAAATCATGTATATATGTGTGATTTTTATTTCTTTACATTTGCTTGTTTTCTGCAGTGATCCTCATCCACGCCTCTCTGAGACTGCGCAACATGAAGAATAGACTGGAGAACAAGATTGAGGGTGTCGGGCTGAAGAAGACCCCCATGGGCATCATCATGGACCTCCTGGATCAGCAGGAGGAGAAAATGAACAAGATTCAGGATTTTCTCGAGAGCAAACTGAAGGAGTAAGGCTCTAGTCAAGAGTGTGCCAAGGGAATTAGTGTCATATACAGAATGGATTAACATTTCCTCAGAATTATCCCATGTATCAAGTTTTTCATCTCCCCCCCTCTATATCCAGTAGTTTGCATTCCCATACTTTGTATCCATTTATTTTGTTCTCATATACGTTTGTTTTGTTTTAAACTGTAATAGATGGTTAGGCAGATTTGCACAATCACCCTGTGCACAGAATGTTGAGAGGCAATGGGCACCAAAGATTACCAAAGGTTTGAGCACTTCTGTGTCACAGAATATTCAAAAAATATTCCCGAAACAAATAATTCCCTTGTTGACAATGTACTTTGAGTATTCACAGGAAAGTAAACCTGAATGTTTCAACACATTATCACACGCCAATTATATTTATTCTAAAAATGAAGTCAGATGGTTTCAGTTTGCTACCTCAAAAACGGGCATGTCAAATTTTTCTCCAGCACCCACGAACCTGTTATCTGCTTAATGAAGTGCAATAACTGTCATCTCGTCTCTCCAGGACCTGTATGAATAGGGATCAGAAACCAGTGGGCTTCTACAGTAGACATGGTATTGGCTGACTAATAATCCTGGAGTTTACATATTCCTGTCGATAAAACCTTTACTGACAGTTCAGGCTGGTGTATCCCCTCTGACCACAGCTATGCAATATTTAAAAAAAAAAAAATGAATGGCAAGTGCAGCTTTATTGTTTGAATATTATGTCACGTTATTACAATGTCTGTTGTTATTTTTTGATGTATCTTTATTTTAATACTAAAGCATGCAGAAATGTATAAAGTGGCTGCAGGTTACAGATTATATATATATATATAACTTTGGCAATGTGGCAAACATACTGACTAAGTTAAAATGAAAAATTAATTTACCACGATTCTGGACTAGATACATATATGCTATTTTCCCGAAAATTGCCTTTCCTTGTACAAAAAAATAAATAAAAGCTATTAAATTTGTAACCTGTAATGTGTTTGTGCTTTTCACGCCTTGACTACAGTTTGTGCATGCTGACCTCACAAATGGCAGTTGGGATTGTTCATGAATGCTATATTATACACACAGCGTATAAGATCTATGTTTTTATTTGAGTTTTTCAGTGTTGAGAAGTGATGATGAAATCACAGAACTGACCGTAAACACAGCTGTCTCATGTAAAAACAATAAAGAGAACCTGATTTATGTTGAAATTGTTTTTCAATCAAGTACCAGTGTGAATATATTGATTTTTATCTTTTTTATATTCTTGTTTCTTTGGGTCAAATCCAAAACAATGTAGTGAGTTACAGACTAACAYTAAAATAAACAAGCTTATATTATATCAGTGAATAAAAGACACAACCAGAAAGTGTGTACACGGTGTCATTTGAAAATTAAAATTGACAAATGATCCATGTGGCATTGATTTGTCAGGACTGATGGCCTTTCTTCAAATATTGCCCTTTATGAAAAACACAACAGTAATTTGTCCTTTTTAATATCTGAACTGCAAACTTACTGAAATAATTCACTGGGAATGTGTTGAGTTTGACACCAATGCCACACAGCGCTGTTAGTGATGGAAGAAGAGGAAACGACTCCCTGTGCGAAGAGTAACATTTATTTTTTTTTATTAAAAGGGAAACGCATGACAACATTTGATCAAACAAACCTACAAACTGGATTTTAAAATGAATTAATTATAGTTAGTTTGAAAATGAACTTTTCATTTTCATATATTAATTGTTGCAACATTTAGTGAAGAAACAACACAGTGGAACACAAATCAGCCATTTCTTCTTGTGTGTCTTGATTAACACATTTCTGAGTGTGTGTGGGGTCACTAATACCAGACATGTTTAAAATAAATATACAATATGGTGAAGACGTACAGTTGAAGTCATAACCTCAGAGGAGACTTGTTTCACTTGATTCCAGGGCTTTGGGAAGCGGCACCTGTTACAAAGGAAAAAAATAAAAATAAAGTTTGCTGGCGTTCTAAGTGTATCTGCAGAATCAAATCATTAATACTGGAATTTTGTCAGCATGCAGTGAAGAACTTAACAACATTTCACATATTCACACTGATGTGAATGAAGAACTCTCTTCTCTGATCTCACGGTGCAGACTTTCAGATACTCACAGATTTCAGATAAGCCACGTTGCTCTTTTTGATCTCGCCCAGGAGCTGATCGCGTGGTGTGACATCGACTTTCGGTGGCACTCGTCTGCGAGGGACAGGCTTCAAAGTCTTAATCACATTAGTCAGGTTGGGCCTTTCATCTGTCACCTCTTCGCTGTCCACCTCATTCACCCTGGGAGTCTTCCTCAGCTGGAAACCAGGGTTCACTGGTCTCCTGTTATCCCTGGGGTCCTGGTCCAGAAAAGGGTCACGTTTCTTGGGCGTCCTCTTCAGCTGCACGTCCCTTAAAGGGTTTGCTGGTTCAGCGCTGGGTTGTTTGGGAATGCCTTTATATTTGAGCTGCTTCTGGGGTTCTGGCTTCTCTGTCTGAGGTTGCTTTTGAGACAAAGCGCTGATATCTGCTGAGGGTGGGACGAGCCCGTGCTCCTGCAAGAGTTCTATGGGTGGTATGTACCCGAGCATCTCAAGTAAACCAGGAGGCAGGTTCAGACTGTGCTCATACATCTGCATCAGCTCCTTCTTCTCCTTCAGCTGCTGCTGCTTCTGCTCCTCCTTTCTCTGCTGCCTCTGAAAGTCCAGATTCCTGGTTAAAATGTTGGTCACCACCATCCTGGGCCCCGGCTGCTCAAAGTGATAGCCCATCTTCAGGAGGGTGTTGTTGGCCTTCAGCAGACGTGAGATCTCCATCTCGGCGTGGTGACCCAGCATGTGCCTCTGGTTGTGAAATCGCAGCTCTGTGAGAGTCTCGTTGAATTGGAGGCAGCGGATGATGGCTACGATTCCCTTCCCTGTGACGAAGTTAGACTCGATATTCAGAGTCGTGATGCTGCGGTTCTCTCGTAACATGTTGGCCAGATTGAAAGCTATGTTTTCATCGACACCCGTGTTGGCTATACTGAAAGTTTTTACGTGTTTGTTCCTCTTCAAGCCGTTGACGTAGTCCAAGAGCATCTCTTTGGGAATGTTTTCTATATTGTTCAGGTTTACCTCGGTGATTGAAGGGTTGTTGTTGCGGATCTTGTCAAGCGTCGACTCCAAGTTCGTCTCATTTCCTGAAGGTCTTGATGTCATTTTGATGTTATTCAGAGCCAGCTTTGGGATTTTTAATTTGTTAATTTTTCTCTCTTCTTTCGGCGGGAGCTCATCACTGGTTTCATTTATCGCTTGTGCCTCTGGAGCATCTTTGAGAAGCAAAGAGTCTGTTGTTCTTATTTCCTCTTTCTCTTCAACGGGAGATGTGCTGGGTTCTGAGCTCTCCATCTTGTCCGGTACATCTGGCAAAGGCTGATCACCATCTGACTTGTTTTCCTTTGCTGTTTCCACAATGTTATCTTGAGGATCCATGTGTTTGTCTGTATTTTCAAGTTCATCATTATTCACCAGTGGCTGCACCTTCCTATCATCTTTCACTTCCTCCTCCTCTTCCTCCTCTTCGTCCTTTTTGTCGATCTCATCAACTACTTCAACAAATTCTTCGATTATCTCCTCAATAATTTCCTCTCCGTTTTCAGCACCTACAGCTTCTTCCTCAATGACTTCCTCTATCACCTCATACTCTTCATATTTCACAGTATCTGTGTTTTCTTCTTTTTCTTTCCTTTCAGCTTCCTCTCTCAAAGTTTTCTGATTAAAACAATAAATCAGAACAACTAGATTGGAACCATTTCAATAGATAGATGGATAAATCAGTAGGTAGGTAGGTATGTAGAATGATAGATAGATAGAACGATAGATGGCCTCTTACCTCACTGGGCAGCAGAGTAGTGGGGACTCTTTCCTCCTCGAGCATGCGTTTGGACTCTTTCTCCCAGTACAGGTAATCAACCAGGGATCTGTGGTCAAATGTCCCAGTCGGAGGCTTTTCTGTCTGGTCCTTCTGCCTCTGTCCGACCGGCACTCTCTCGTCTGGGGCAATAATTACATCCATCTCACTCTGAAGCTCCTGAAGCTCCTCGGGTGAAAGCATAGCGAGGAGTTCATCCTCATCAATGTCTTCCTCATTGAGTTCATCGAGGTCTCTGCCGTTGGACATGTTTGCGCTCTTTAGTTTGTTGTCTATTTTTGCTTCTCTTAATATCAAAAGGAAGGATAATTTCTGTCTGATCAATGACTCGGGGCAGAGCAAACTGGGAAGGCTCCGGCTCTGACTCTGGCTAGAAAGGGTTTGCTGCCCGCCTCATGCAGAGTCTAAAATTAAACCCTGTGAACTGCATGGAAGATATTTAAGGTGCAAGCAGGGGAAAGACATGCTAACATTCTTTTTTCAGCCCCCTCCTCCCAGCTGGCCCGGCCGTCAGGATCTTTTGGGATGACAGTTGCTTCAGGCAGAGGAAAGAGCAGGATTGACAGCAGCAGGTGGAGCATTTTCATAGGCCTGGTGGGAGGGGGGGAGTCATCAGAGCACCCAGAGCTCTCCAGAAGACAGAGGACTCTTACGGGCTGCACGACAACAAACACATGAGCCAGAGGATAGTTTTTCTTCAAGGGAATGGATTCTCTCAGCTGGAGAGAACAAGATGCTGCTTCTGTCTGACTTCAGACAGCTCCAAACAAAATGTGATGCAGTATGAGAGCTTTTTATTTAAAATGACACCCAGGAAGTTTTATTTATATAAGAAATAGAAAAAACTTGTTTTGGCTGTTTTTAAGTTTTTTGCAGAGTTAGATGGAAATATTTATAATACTTTCATATCTGTCTTAAACCTGATTAGATAGCTTATAGCATAAAGACTGGAAACAACCTGAACTCCATTCCATGATAAAAAACCTTCCAACAGTATTGTTTCAGAAGTTCACTTGTTACCTACGTCAATAATTTTATGTTCTCATCTGCATTTTGTCTGTTTGTTAGTTCATAGGATTATGCAAAACTACTTGGCGAAACTTGGTGGAAGGATGTGTTTTCACTTCCTGTTTAATATTCAGAGATATTCAAATTTACGTTGATTTCTTCAAGAATAATTCATAGATCTTAATTTTAAACACAGGCATGTTTAAGGGACTTATTTATATGATTGTTTGCAATTTAGTGCAGATCCAAACGTAAATCTGGATATTGTGAAAATGTAGTTTCATAAGGGGACTGTTGAGCCTTGGCAGAGGTATGTTGTTCCTGTTCTTGTTTGCTTGTTAAATCTAATTTGTGTGCAAAAAAAATATTCAGTCTGAGTTTAATTTTCCTGATGGGGCAAATTGGGCAGAACTCCAATAACTGCAGAGCCTGCCTTGCAGTTCCTTGGTTGTAAGTTCAACTAACCAACCAGCTGATCTTCTTTCAAACTCAATCGATAAGGCTTCATTCGCTAAAAGGCTCCGAATCAATTTCCCGAACCATCCAGCTATTCCTTAAAGGTTGACTCACTTACTTAATAACAGAACCTGAGCTGGTTGTTTACCACCCACACGAGCCCCTGAAAGAAAGTGACAACAGCCATCTCTGTGTCATACATGTATTTATTCACATCCGTGTTCCCAGTGGAAAATATTTAATGACAACATCTAACAACATATCACTACACACGGTGACTGTACAAATATGTGAGAAAAAGAGAGAAGGGGTCATGGACATGGTGTTCACGGCAGTGGTCTTCTGTTCTCATAAAAAAGAAGTTCTTATCAAAAGATCTATGTTCTCACCATGCATCTTAAAACACTACGGCACCAACGTGAACAAATGGTTCTATAAACAATATTGACATGATACATTCTCATTCAATGTTAAAAGAAAGAAAGAAATGGGAATTTATCGAATACACAATCAGCTCTAATGACGATCAATAACCTGTTCATGGTTTGTTTTCAATTTGGATCAGAATATTATTTCATCATATTTCACTGAGACCAAAGTGGTGAAAATCATTTTATTCCATAACCTACTGTTTGATATGAAACAGTAACTAGTTCCTGTTAAAATACACGTTGGGTTGGGTTCAGTAAAAACACATGTTGCTTCTTTTTTTTCATCTTTGATACACAATAGAGTTTGAATCCAGTGCGCCTGTGCAACATCTTAAAGTTTTTCGACACATTCTCATCTACCTGTACAATTCATCCAATCCAAGGCACATGGGAAAGTCATTCAAGAGTGTCATCCCTGTGTTCAGAGGTTACTTTAAACATGAGGACAGGTGCAAACACAGGCTGCCAAAGATGGATCATCTCCCGAGACGAGAGCTATGGCAGAAAAGCTTGTGTGCGACCTGCGTTCCAACTTCATCCCGTTCATGTGCTGCTGGCCCTGGGTTCACGTGTGCCAAAGTTTGATTTGGTCCTCTTCAGCGGATGCTCATGTAGCTTCCATCCAGGTGAAATCTGGACAGGAAGTGACACAAGAATATGTCAAATATACCGTGGTTCAACTGTTTGAGAACATGGAACTCGTGATTGAATCATGTGATCAAACTGAGGGATGAAAATGCAGTAAAATCAAAAAGTGTTATGGATAATATAGGAAATTCCCTCTTTTTAGCTTGCAGCAAAGCTCTAGGGAGGGAATAGTTGATTGGAATAGTTTGGTCCAGAGTGAAATTTCTGGACAACTTATGGATAGATTGCCACCAATTCAACTTTTCTTTGTTAACCAAAACCCGGGATGAATGAGAACACAGACGAGGAATAAAGTTGGACGACAAGACAGGTCCCCAAAAGTGAAGCCAAATCATCTGGATGAGCCCCTGGTGGCTGGCTGCAGTAAGGGTCCTTAACCCTGCCCCCTCAATGTTAGCAGATGGACCAGATTAAAAAGTCAAAGAACACATTAATAACATGTATCCCAAAAATATTAATATCAATATAATATTAGCATGTGGCGTCCATCTTTATTTCAAGATTCATTGTGTAAGATTTAGGTGGACGGAATCTATTGGCAGAAATTTTATATAAAATAAGTCTGTTTCATCTGAACTGTAAGGATTTTCATTTCTAGAATGGGCCCTTTATATTTAAATACTTTATATTGACATCAGGAGTGGGTCCGCTCTACGGATGCAGCCATGTTTTTTTTACAGTAGCCCAGACAGGACAAAGTAAACAGCTTTTGAGTTTTTATGACAACTGAAGACTCCCATAGGTTCTCTTTCATGTTTGGAAGGGGAGAGTGAGGTGAGAGGTATTCAGCTGCAACATGACACTTCACCACTAGATGTCACTAAATTCTACACACCGAACCTTTAAGCTGCAGTTCATATCTGAGAATCTTCACAGACATCCTCAGTTTGAATAATCCTCATTAATCAAATGATAAACACTTCAGGTATGTCCTTGCTTGGTTGGTGCGTCAGGTACAAGATGAGCAAAAGATAATGACTGAAATGTTTTGACAAAATACAATCATGCTGTGTCTGAATTAAAAAAACACTTCAAACCACACTATGAAAAGGTGAATGATTTAGTTGAATAGTCTATTAAGAAGTAACACAAATGAGGATGGAAAGTCGAAAGTGGAGATGACTGGCAACACGACACGAAACAGCCCGCTGTGTCTCACCCTTAACTGCTAGAATGGTTGTCTGATGGTTCATCTCTACTAGTGGTCTCAGCGCCAACCACTTCAACTGTCTCAGAATTTTTAGGCACTGTGTCAGACACTTTGTTATCTGGAGAAAATCTGCACACATGAGCATTAATCACACATCCGGGCATGAAGGAGAGAAGAAAGAAAGGAGATCTTCAGGGTTTTATTGCACTGAAAGAATTTTTTTCTTGCAAGCCGATCTTGTAAGCAAAAGAAACAGTAGTCTGTGACTTTCACTTTCTCTTGCACCCATGAGGTTTGGTAAACTGCAGCGCTCACCTGCTGTGTGCCGGACTGCGGTTGTACGGCGAGGCGTGAGCTCCGGGATGAGGGTACTGAGGTGTGACAGGCGAGTCATACTCCTTCAGGCCGACTGCCAGCTGATTGCGCCAGTTGCCCGTGCTCTCAGCTGAGGACACTGCAAACAAGACAAAAGCAAACACACCCAGTTAATGTTAGAGTGTCATTGTTGTTATTGGAAATACTGTGTCCCATTTCACGTCACTACTCATTTTACTCATGTTATTCGAATGAAGAGAGAGAAGCACAAATTTCCTCCCAGACTTGCCTTACTGGCACCATTTAAATGTTCTGGATGCAGGATGTAAAAACCTTTCACTGTAATGTGCTTAAATAAAATTATCTTTTGAGTTTTAGCAGCTTTTTAAGGCACGTTGACGCATGTAACAGCAAGTTAGACCAATATAACTCCAACAAACAAATCAGATATGGAAACAAAAAAGCCTCCCTTGACAGGATGCATGTACATCACTGGCTGATTTCTATCATGTAATGGACAACTGACAGCAGCTTAATGAAAAAGATAAAAACTGGTTTAATCAAATTGATTTTTTTTGGGGGTTCTGTCTCCCACAACAATAGATTCGGCTATTCGAGGACATGGTCTCACCTGAGGAGAAGGACGTGGTTCTGCTGGAGTGGCTGAAGGCCGCTGGCATGGTCTGGTAGCCCAGACTCAGCTGAGAGCCGCTGTCAAAGTCGTATCCGGTGAGCGTCCCTCTCCCTCCCTCCCTGGGGCCCTTGCTGCGATGGTACCAGCCTTTCAGATGCTCCGCCACCAGGGCCTTCTGCATGTTCTTGGCCAAGAGCTCATTTCTGGGGCCCTCTCTGTTCCGTGGCGGCCTCACTGTCGCATAGGGATTTTGGGAAAGACCATCTGCCCTGTCACTGCTGTAATGCCTGAATCTGTCATGTCCGTGATACCCATTCATTTGGTAGGAAGGGTTGACGTTGTAGTGGCCTTCAACTTCGTTCTCATACACGTAGGCACCGTTAGAATACGGCTCCATGTCCGAGCAGGCGTAGTCAGTGACGTAGTAGGCACTCGGTGCATAGTGTGTTGAGGTCTCACATGAGTAACTGCAACCAGAATGGTGCTGGACCAAGTTGGGCATGCTCCCGGTATTTCCGTACACCTCCACCTTCCTGTGGAGACGATGCATGGTGGAGGTGCGGGAGTCCAGTGTACTGTAGTGGGAGTTGGCCGCCCCACAGTAGTCCAGACTAGACTGACTGGTGTAGGAGGAACAGTCCTCTAACACCTCTGTGCTGTTGCTGCGGTGGGCATGTGACAAGATGAACACCTGCTTCTCAGAGTCGGTGTCTTTTCTTTGTTGGGGCTGCGACTCCAGACTCCCGCTGCGGTGCCTGAAGCAATGAGGAGACCCCTCCGACCTGGAGAAGGAACACAACTGTTTCTCAAACAAAGGAAATCAGTGCTAGGATTATATTTCTTTATGTGTTAATACAAAACCGAGCAGGGGGTTCATATGGGAGCTTTGGGAGAAGGTTGGGTAGAAGCAGGGATTGGGTTGCAGTGAGGAGGAGGAGGAGGAAAGAAATTGGGTTTGGCAGTGCTGGGGAGAGAAGATCACACCTGAGCTGGCTGCTGCTGTAGGCATTGCGGGTCATAACCGGGGTGGGAGGCATGCTGCGTGGATCTCTGGGAGGTCTGGGAAGGGTTTTATAGGGACTACTGTGGGCGGAGGAGACCTCTCTTGGATTCTGGTAGTAGTGGGAACCCGACTGGCCTTCAAAAGCTAATCTAAAAGGGTGTGTATCAGGAGAGGATAAAAAATTAAGGGATCAGAACCAAGGAAAGGAACGAAGATGCAAACATGACGGATACATCATGGACTGAACTTGCAGGCTGCAAATAAAATAAAAAGCTGCAGAGACAAGTTATAACTCAAGGAAACAACAACAACAAACAGACTGGTGCACAAGATCTGTTTCCGCACCTGCTGTGGTTCTTGCTGTTGTGATTTTCCCTCGGAGATCCCTGTCGCTCCAGATCATACTCTGCCCCCAGCGAGCGCATTGGACTGAGCTGAGGGGAGCCTTGGACCGACCGTGACCGCGGCCTCTGATTGACGCTGTCTGAGTCATCTTCATACAAAAGCATCACAGGGTAAAGAAAACATTGGCACTTGCTTTTTTAATATTTTAATCATTATTACAGCAGGTGAAATGATTTTAAAGCAAATGTGTGCTGTCTGACTCACCATCATCCAGTGGGAGACTCGACAGGGAGCTGCAGTCTGAACGGATGAGTTCATCTGGTAAAAGAGGATGTAACTCGGTGTTGATTTTGGATACAGCTTCATGATTAATGCAGTAACACACCTCCGCTTTGCACCATACCTGCAATGATTACTGAGGCCCGCTGCGTGGGCTTCTTTCCCTTCTTGATCCTGTACTGGTTCATCTCGTCCTCTATCTGCTGGAGCCTGTGCATGGCGTCCAAACAGTTTCTCCTCCTTTTCTTCTTCACTGTTTTGGACAACTCCGACTCATTTGCAAGTTTTTTCGCTGCCTCCACAATCTTTTGCTGCAGCGCAAATCTGCTCTCCAGGTTCCTCAGGAATGGATCCTGCACAGAACATGAGCAGCAGAGACACCAGTAACTAACACATATTCATTAACATTCATTCATTCTACATCAAATTTAATCAGGAAAAGACATCTGACTTCCCCATTATTTTGATATGTCTTCCAAAATGGATCTAATTGTGTCTTGCTTTCAGTTGGACCTTATTGAAGTTTTGCTTATATAAGCTGCAGATTATAAAACTGTCAATTTACAGCTGAGCACATTTACTGTACAGGGTCAGGCTGGTATTATATATCTTTCTCATGGCAAATAAATCCCCTCAAAGGTCTGTTAGGTTTCATTAGGTTACATTTTCACCACCAGAATGGTGTAAGTAAACTCAAAATAAACCTCAGTGCATGTGCAAAATCTATCAGCTGGACTCTACTATGAACTACTTCGTGTATTACCTTTCTATGGGTTTTTTTCACAATAAGAATACATTTTAATACCTTAAAAATCTGCTATATTACTCAAAACTAGAAAAAGCTATAAATTGCTGCTGATTTGATTTAAGTGCCGCTTTAAATATGAACCTCGTTGTAGGGGAACAGGTCATCCAACTTGAAAGCTGTGCCAACGCGACGTCTGACCAGCGGCGGTCTCTCATCTGAGGAGAGGGGATACTCCTTCGGCAGCTTGCCAGTGAGCTCCTGCAGGAAACAAACACACAACACCATTCACCTCGACACTTAAATGAACTAAGAGCAACAGCAGAATCCATTAATCTCCCAGTCACACAGCAACACAGTTTAATAAAGGGAGTAGAACAGACTGAATGCAGCTGCTTTGCAAGATATAGACACGATGCAGAAGAGGTGTAAAACATGATGATTTCTCACCGCCTCTCGCAGACAAATCTTTTTCAGTTCCTTTGTTTTCTTGGCCAAGATGTCTTGGATGTCCTGCTCTTTTTTTCTCAGCTCAGACAGTTTCTCTTTCTTCTGCTCCTCACTCATCTCAGAGTCTCCGGATCCTGTGAAAAAGATCATCTAACTGTTCATATCCTTATTTCCAAAGATGCAGTGATATCACTGAGGAGCTCACTCTTTAACGGGTTATTTTTACTTTATATTCCACAAGCAGCTCATTTTTTATATTTTACAGCTTAATCAGGGACACAGGGATGATTTTTGTTAAAGAAACATGAGCTTAATATGCACTTGCTGCCTGTAATAATTATAACCAACCTGTAGATACCAGGCTCCCATTGCTGGCTGTTATTAAGTTATTCTTCAAGCCTGCGTCTGCCAGTCTGTTTATCTTTGCTCCTCCGTGCTCTGTGAGATCCATAGCAATTTCTTCCAAACTCCTTGCTGTTCCTAATTTCACCTAAAAGAATAAAGAGCCCCATGTCAAACAAGGATTCTACGATAGATAACTCAGAGTTAAAAGTATCAGGCACTGACTGATGACAGACACTTACTTTGCTTTGCTTTCTATCCAGGTAGAACTGGTGCTGGCTAATAGCCATGACCCAGATGGTTTTGATCAGAGAGTGGCTGGCATACCACGTGTGGATGAGTAGGCCCGTCTGCCCGAAAGTGCGCTTGGTTACCGCCCTCCTGTTGCAAAGAACACGGCACACAAGAAATCTGAGCTGGAGGTTTTATCATAAATAATATAAAAGCTACAGTGAGATGAAACAATGGATCCGTAAAAGTAAAAGTGGCAGAATGATGTACTTGTACTAAAACAGTTTAACAGACGCTGAGGAGAATCTCCTGCAACTCACCTGTGTGGATCATTAACTTCCACAGCAAACTTTTTCTCACGGAAATACAGGTTTTCCAGCTGCTTCCACTGGTATAGCTGAAGATAGAAAGAGAAAAATGAATTTCTGTTCAGAAAAATAGCTTTAGGGTTATTCGCAACATGATTACACAGAGATAAGAGGTGATGCAATACCAGGACTAATGGAATCTGTCCACTTATTCCTTCAGTCCTGGTAAAATGTTCATATATCATTTCTAAAATCATCTATCAGCATGACTCGTGACAAATAAACTATTATAAAATAAAATGAGTGGTGCAGGTTGTTTGACTGAACTGTCTCAGCCACTGTCATTAAAGAAAACCAGACTGTACCATGCACTGTCATTACAGTCTGAAACAACATGTCTGCAATAATGCAGGTGTTTAAGAGAGAAGAACGCCACAAGGGGACATTACACAAAGACTCATCACAGCACACAACACTTTCCATGGCTCATCATGTCCATCCCTGACAGCAGCCATATGAACAATCTGTTTTGGTGAGTGACTCACTGTGTGTCTGGACAAGATCCGAATGAGACACATACAAACATGTGGATGCTGAGGATTTCACGTTCAGCAGCGAGTTTGAGGAAACATGTTCATCGAGTTTTACATTAAAACTTAAAACAACACACATAAAAAAACTGCAGTATAGGTGACCAGGCAAGTGTAGTATCCAGTCTTACCAGTATGATGATCACAAGTCCAACAAATTAAAGTAATTAAATCCTCCGTGGCTCGACTGTCAACACAAGTACGTACTTTGTTCTGTCCACTGTCAGCTCCTGACTTGTCTCCTCAGGTATTCTCAGTTAGAACACACATAATAACGCCCAAATCCAGCCCCTCTCCCTTTGACATCATCAGCTCCCTCCCTCCTCCACAGACACATGCACACTGCCTGAACACAGCTGGCTGCTTGCACAATCCAGGATTGAACAGGAAGACGATGACAGTAAATTCATGTGAACGTGGGCTGAGCTTTCACCTCTTTTTTTTAAAATCACACACCGACCGGACAGCGTAGCTAACACATCACTCACATGGGTGTTTCTCCGATTAGATTCACAGACTAAAACAGCAGAGGAACGAGAAAAACCGGTTCACACTGCATGTGATGATTCTCAAGGACTTTATAATAAAAACTCAGCAGGTTGAACTGCCGGAGCGGAGAGATCAAACTTTTCATCCTCTGCAGCTAAAGTTCAGCTTTTGTTCAGTTGAAAAAGGTTGAACATTAAAAGAGACATATTCTGCTCATGTTCAGGTTAATACTTTTCATTTGGGTTATTACTAGAAAAGGTCTATATGCTCCAATGTTCAGAAAACACATCTCACATGACATCTTCCCTCATACTGCCCATTGCTGCAGCTCCTCTATTCAGCCTCTGTCTGAAACCCTTAGATTAAGCTCCTGTCTCTTTTTAGGCCCTGTCCAGTCTGCTCTCATTGGCCACTCTGTTGTGATTGGTCAACCGATTCCAGCGTGAGTAGGAAACGTCGGTCTCTGATCCCGCTTTACCTGGCTTTGTATTTATCATCATGCCAGACTGGCTGCTCGGTGTACATTATGAAAACATGGGGCATCGTGATGGATCGGCCTTGTTGTTACCATTTAAATTCTGTATGACCAAAAACTTTTACACAATATATATCCAACTAATCTATATCCCCTTTAAAAAAAACTATTTTGCAACAATGAGCCCTGTATTTCAGGGGGTTCGGGAGCTTGAGTGTTTTCTGTGGGGGTTGGGGGGGGGGCTCTCTTTTTAACAATACTGGCCTTTTACATACTCACTCACAAAAAACTAGAAAAACACACTTGAGGAAAGAAAAACATAAAAGGCCTCATTTGTCTCACTTTCATAAGAACTGATGATTCATGTGATATAGATGCAATCGCTACCCGTGCTATCATGTCCACAGTTGTGAAACAGCAGCCATCTTTGAAAGACCGAGCTGGACGAAACGTTTACCTTTCGAGGTTTTAATCGGTCCTGCAGGTCGTACTGGCCGATGCCTTTATAGCTGAGTCCAAGCCACCAGGGGATCCCTTGTTTATCCTGTCAAGGGAGAACACACCTTAAATAGGACTGACTCACTTTCAGGTGTAACGGCTGCCAATTCCCATTAATCCCATTTGGAGACCTACCTTAACTTCATAATAGTGCACGCCGTACGTGGGCAGTGATTCCACTAAAGTCAGGTACCTAGAACAAAAGCAGATTTTCACTCTCTGCATGAGTAATACCTTGGAAATGTGAGGACAGCAATGGGAACGGGATAGTGGATCCATGAGATTCATGGGACTGCAGCTGAGGAGGAGCTATTGATTTCTATCAGATGATAAGAAAGTGGATGCTGGAGTGACGGAAGCACTAATGGAGGTGAGAGGAAGATTAATGAACTTCACCTCTTTTTTTTTAATACTCACTGCACAATGGCCTGTCCTCGGGAGACCCCTTTCAGCTGTTTATAATATTCAATCACTCGATCCTCACTGCAAAGACACATAAAGACGACAGCTGCTTACACTTTGAACAGCTGTAAATCTTCAGATTTACTCATTCTGTGCGATAATCTGCGTGTTTTTCAAGTCAAGCACAGGCCGGGTTGATCTATAAAACTTTGCAGGTTGAGTATTTTCCTGTACGCGTACCAGTATGCAAGTGATGGGTGTTCCTTAAGTACTTTGGTGGGAAGAGTTGGTAGTTTCTTCAAGTCCGCTCGAGTGTTTTCGTCACTGAAACAGAAAAATAAAAGGTCACAATAAATGTAAAATGAATTAACAAAGGCATAAATGAAAATGAATGAATTCTCAGGTACTCGTACTTTACTTCAGTTTTTCAATATTCTGCTATTTTACCCCTGAAGCCAACATTTCAGCCGTCATCAACAATGCAAGGAACGCTTATAATCATAATGGTCACAGTCAGGTGGCGTCCTGCACAAAGACCTGCAGTATTTAGTCAGAACACTACAAGTATATATAAAATCAAAAGGCGTCAGAGCGGCTCTGTGAAGGTGTCGGCGCTCTGGCTTCTGTCAGCACTATGAGATTCATTAGTTGCCTGGTGCAAGCTTCTCTGCACTCTGTGGTAAGCCCCACATAACACTGCTATTGATTTTTGTTGTCTGCACCGAAACAAGTGATCTATGGAGCACCGTTGCTAAAAGCTCACTATTAACTCGTCCTGCTGCCGTTAAATACTTCTTACCAAGCTGATGATCTGTTCTTACCTTGTGTAGTCTCCCTTCGCCTCCTAGTGACAGAAAATACGTTGTTAGATTACATGCTTTCAGATGCATTCCATGAAAGTATGCACAGTATATGCATCTATTAAAAGCACTGACCTGCAAAGCATTTGCAGCTAATTTGAAGACGTTTTCACTTTCCACTTCGATGATCCCCTGAGAAACATAAGAGATCAACAGCATAAGAAAATATAAATAGGATGCCGAACATGTGGTGCATGAGGTGAAAGCTTTGTATATCCAAACAAAGAAGCGTCTCTGCATTGCCCTACAATAACCTCTGGAAATCAGCCCTGGTTTTTTACTACTTTCTTAGTCTGTTTTACATTCCAGCCAGCAGAGTGAGAAAACTGTGCCCTGCAGCCACTGTGCTCTGAGCTGAGGTGCTGCGAGGGTCCGGAGACAGTGAATCATCAGGGAGTCTGTGCTGGGAAAACACACACACACACACACACACACACACACACACAGAGACACACACAAACTATAGCACGATCATCGCTTCAAACCACAAAACCAACAAGAGAAAAACACTCACATTGTAGACAGCAGATTTTGCGTTCAGGAAGAATAACTCCACCGTTATGATGTCCTTAAGCAGCGTTATGTTTTCTACATAAAACCTGTGATGGATGAAAGCACATGCACGCACAACAAATTCAGTTAAACTGAGAAAACTTGTCATTTTGCTATTGCTGCTCAATAAATCCTGCATTTGCATTCATCTCTGCTGAGCGTGTGTGAGCAGTGTGAGGTGGAGGTGAGAGGGGGGAGGGGTCTGAGCAGGAAAAACACCAAAACAAAGTTGGAGACATTCATACATATTTAAGGCAATCAAAGTAAAACTACTGTGGACATTGTAGACAGCTGTCCACAAAGTATAGCGCTCCCTGCTGGAGAGCTTGTGCTTTGCATGAGGAGATGAGTTACTACCTGACCAGGAAGTTGAGGGTGATGGGCCCGGGCTTCTTGGAGAAGTCATGTTCATGAACTCTGCGGTCCATCTGCAACCACTTACGCTGACCACTGCAACAGCAAACACACTCAGGCATCAGAGAGGGGACATCTGTAAATATTCAGGCTGCTGGGAGAAATAAATGGAAGGATTTACATACTTGTCATCGAAAAATGCGAGTCCAAAGAATTCCTTCTCTTTGAGGTTGAAGTGGGAGGACACCAAGTCGAGGAGCTCGTAGGACAGCAGCTTAGGCTGGAGGGGAGGGGGATTTAGAGTTAGATTGACTGTAATCCCAAATATTAGGAGAAATAACTCAGGCAATTTCCTAGATTAATGTCCAGTGGATGCTTGAGAAAATGTTCCTTTTTTTTCTGTTGCTTCCTCCTTTCTCAGGAGAAGTCGGGCAGAGAGGTCAAGTGGAGGGCAGGATGGGACTGGAGTGAGTACGCTCAGTGATTAACCAAGGCTGCTCATGTATGATCAAATGTTTTGAGCGAATGTGATGAAAATACCTTCAACCCTCCTTTATCATTTTATATACATCCTCACTGAAAAACAAGTCCTCACATACAGAGAAATCTATATTGTGTTACTTTGAAACCTGCAATATCAATGTTTTTGGGGCTACTTAGAATCAACATAAATCTGAAATATTAAATCCTTTAAAGTCTATTTGAGTTATGGATCAGCATTATCGTCTCTGTTTTTTTTCTTTCTTAAAATTGTTGATAAGTTTATGATTAACCTGTGAAATATCAAGCCTCAACTACATTTCTCTGTCATGAGGGTTTGAAAACAGCAAATATGGAATCATTGCAAGTTTTCTTTAATATAAATATCGGCTGATTTATTAGTATTGGAAATGTTTTACTTCCTAATATCGGCATTGGCCTTTGCTCCCAAAAATCAATATCTGTAGGTCTCTCCTCTAACATTGTGGGTGGCTGTTGCTCAGGAGCTAGAGCCGATCGTCCAATAGCCAGAGGGTCGGCGGTTTGATCCCAGACCACCCCATTCTGCATGCTGATCCCTCTGACAGCTGTGATGTATGGCAGAAAGAGTGCTGCACATAGATGCACTGTATGAATGTGTGTGTGAAGGGTTAATGGCAAAACTGTACAAACCTTTTAATCGCACATGTTGGTATGAAAACATTCATCATAGCCTTTTTGAATCAGGAGCATTCGTACCTGAACCAGCAGCTCAAGCTTCCTGTCATCCAGCAGCTGCACTTGACAAAGTCTGCCCTCCGTCATCTGCAGGAGGAGAGACGAGGAAGTTGGAGGCTCGTGACACTGATTGCAAACTGTTCATCATCACAAGGGAATATAACATGAGGATCTCGTGTGTCAGTCGTGTTTTTACTGCTTTACGAGAGAATATAGAGCAAAATAAAGAGAGTTGAGACAAAGCTGCTATATTTACTATCAGCAATCTGAGCCAAGGCCTTGGTGGTGAGTACAGTGACCCTTTTCAAGAAGAAGAAAAAAAAACACTGACGTTGTTAATGACAATGAAACCATTGTCTTGAGGATTTGTTGCCATGGCAATCCACCAAAGGAAGGATTTCTTTCCATTTCGGACCTTTCACATTAAAGCTTTCAGTCTTTCAGCATCCAATTAAACAAATTGCCAGTTGTGGAATGAATCAAAGTACTTTTTTAAGGTATTGTATACTGTATTTCCATTTTATGTAACTTTATACTTCTACTCCACTACACTATGTTTATTCGATAACTATAACTACTAGTTACTTCAATTATTTACTGCAGATTAAGATTTTAACACAAGATACTTTATATATCAAATTTAATGCATTTTGACAAATTAAACTATTCAACAATATATATTTTTAAATAGGTTAAATAATCTTCACCTCCACCAGCTACAACAAAATGCTTCTTAGAGATTAATGCGATAACAATAATGATAAACTGTATAATATATAATAACAGAACTTACACACAGGGTATTTTTATATGAGAACTTTGATAAAATGACATTTTACCACTACTGCAAAATCTCTATTTCTTCCGGTGTTTCACCCAAAACAATAAAACAGTCACAGCATGAATCAAGTTCCCTCCATGCGACTGTTTAGAGCAGTAAAGCAAAACCTTAGATTAAACTCTGCATCAGGGGAAATCATATTTGTTTGCTTGTGCATGATCTTTTCAACCACAACGCCCACAAGAGAGAAAGAGTCAGGCTGACCTACCCGGAGACACTGAGAGCACCATTTACTAGATAAATCAAATAGCCAGTAGAAGTGACAGATTGAGGTTAACCATTTTTACAACAAAAACCTGCACACAGACTGAAACAAAAGCACAGAGGATGGATCCAACAGCCTCCTCTTCTGACAGAATGGGGCTGATCACAGCTTGTAACGCTCCTAGTGAAGCTGCTGTACCTGGTAAACCTCTCCGGGGACAGTGCAGGTGTGGATGCATCCCTGACCGGACTCCATCCTTTGACACGAGTCTCCTCTTCGATCCGGAACATGAGGTTTGCTCGCTCTGACTGAGCAGCAACAGACACTCGGGATTAACCGGCGGATTCTGTCCGAGTTATTGAGCCGAGCGGCCGGGCCTCCGCGGTGACGGCTTATAGAGTGTGGCCAGTTAGTGAGAAATCAGCAGTTGACTTAATGAGGGCTGTCTGGGTCAGACTCCTGACCACAGTTTAGGGTTTACAGCTTATTAATATGAACCATACAGGTCAGACCATAAGTATGAATGATAGATATAAGGCAGTTGAGTATTTAGTTACAGTTTATTTTGACTGCAGCTCATTTCATTCTGTAGCTGAATGAGTTTGAATGTGGATATCATTGCACAAATAAACAACTGGATTAACACTCGGTAGAGCGCATGCTTCCGCCAAAGCCCAACAGTCCCTGTAAATTCGATCAAGCTGCACCACATTGCACAGGCTCATAAGTATCAGTTCCCTAAATGTGTCTGGTTTGTTTTTCATTAAGCTCCATGAATTAATTCTCTAGGGAAATGGAGAAAATGAAGAAAGATCTTGTTATTTAACAGAAGTCGAAACTAAAATTCCTGGATCTAAACCCCCTGATCCAGATCCACACCAAACTGACACAAACAGGGTGAAAACTAATTACCTCTGCCAAGGGGGTTATGTTTTGCTCTGCCCTGCTCACTGAATGTGAGTGGGGCAAACCCAGGTTACTCCCTTAATTGACACCATCTGTATTGTTTTATTGAGCACTTAGTTACAGCCCCTGAATAATGTTTCTTTGTGATCACCACAGACATAAATTTCCCTCCATGATTAAATTAAAAGTGCACATTCAATGAATCCAATTAATTTGGAGAGTGACCACTCTTAACAAGTGGATTATTACATTGATTTTGAGCTTGAATTAAATTTGACTGCACCCCATTTGTGTCTGTTGCTCCAACATGACAAGTGCAGTAAGGGAGCCGGCCACTAGATGGTGCAGGGATTATTTTTCTTCTACGAGGAAGTAGTTCATAAGAAGAAAATGGCCACTTGAACAAACATTGCACCACTGAGGAATTTTCAGAAGCAGCTATTAGCTCAGCAGACGAGAGTCTAATTCAGCTGGGATGACTCCTGCTCATAAATCAAATGATTGGAAGAAGGAGCCGTGATTTTAAGGGGAATCTTCACCATTAATCACCTGGGAACCATAAGCTCTACAAGAACTGCTATTTATATCTGACTGAGACGCCCGGCAACCCTGACTAACCCTGCAGTTTCTCAGCAGTGACACACTCATCAAATGTACAGACATAAAAAAAATGAGCTTAGACCTGAACAGACAGGGATATAAAACTGGTGTATACTCAACAATGGCACTCAGTATAGAGAAATACCTCCACCAAGGCCCCAAATTACCCTTATGAAGCTACATTTTAATAATAGTCATAATAGTAACTGTAAAAATAAACGAGAGAAAAATTACTGATGATATTTCAGATTTATGGGGGTTTTCCTGGCCCATAGTAGTTTCTGCTTAATCGTGTTACCTTACAGACACTGGCTGGAAGATTTGGTATCACCGCTAATCAGTTATAGGGATACAAATCTTTCCATGTAAGGTCACGGTCACACACGAACCTTCGCCTCCACTGCGAATCTGAAAGAGGGCGAATACAACATTAACTTCTGGAGGAGAAGCAAATCAGCAGCGTGGTTTCGCGTGGAGTTTAATTATGGTGAACTTGCAAACATTGTGCAGTGTAAAGAAAAACAACTCCTGGATCTGCTCCTTGATCGGAATCACACAAAAATGTAAACGGTTCTTCGACATCAAGTTTCGAGCTCATCTGTCCAGTTGTTTATGAATAATCCTGCAAACTAACAGACAGACGAACAGTTTAACACAGATGAAAGTACAGCTTCCTTGGTGAAGTTATAGATTACAAAAGCATACTGGCCACCATTTAACCCTTCATTGGACATCTCATGATGCATGTGTCAGAGCTAGTGAAGCTCATCACAGCAAAGCAGACAGCGCTGCCTAGTCAACCAAACCCGAGCTACTCAACCTCAGTGAGGGTCCGGCTCTGTACCCTCTGGGGTTAAGACGAGCATCCAACCTTCATGTAAAAAAGACGGGAGAAGAAAGAGCTCTCAGTCTTTGTGTTCGTTTCTCCAGAGACTGAAAAGGCGCTGGATGAGTACTGCGCCATAGGGTGAAGGTTTGAATCCAGTCTGAAGCCTGAGGTCGGCTTATAGACAGCTTGTTATATACAAATTACTCCAGTAGAGTGTTGGGGAAGGTGCAGGTGTGACCTCCACAAGCACACAAAGAATAACCATGAACACAAACTGGCAGGATGTAGAGATAACTCCTGATGATGAGCAGACACTGATTAAAAAATAATTCCATATCAAGCTTTTAAGAATGTACAATGAGCTCACAGGAGCATTTCTCTGTCAGAGTCAGTGTTTAATACGTCACACTGGTTAAATGTCATGTTCAGACTGCAGCCTGTCTTATCTCAGTTTCCCGTTTTCATGCATTATTGATGAAGACTGGTATCACACACACACGTCAGTGTCTGCTGTGTGCTCACATGCTGCTTTGAAGACACCGCAAACGTAAAAACATGGAAATTATCACCGATTAAATATCTTCCCAAGCAAAACGTCACATTAAATATATTTTAATTCACATTTTTGAGAGGAGCTGTGCAGATTATTAGCATCTAGTCAGTGGATTCCCTCACACTTGGTTGATGAGGATGCTCAGATGTTTGGTTAGACTCAGTAAAAGGCTGGAGATGTGATGTGCTGTGGTCTACTGGGGGAGCAGCGTCTGTGCCAGAGAGGCCAGCAGCATCAATAAACTCATTCACAGGGTCCAGGACCATCATCATAGATCTGGACAGTCTGTGTGGAGCCGGAGGTCAATGAACAAACTGCTCTCCCTCATGAAGAATCCATCCCATCCACCTCACAACACACTGCAGAGACACAGTGCATATCTCGAAATCCTATTTGTACAGTGCTTATTAAACACTGGTGTTCAAATTGTACCCCAACCTTTCTTAATGGCACCATATGTGTGATTAATATTGTTTCCTCTGTCTGCAGGATGACAATTTCCCTCATGGTATAAATAAAGAATCTATCAATGTAAAGACAAAGACATGAAGCCCCGAGAAATCTAAATAAAATCTTCCTGTGAGTTCCAGTGGTAACAAACATACGACCTGACAGGATGTGACATCCAGTACATTGTGGTTCTAATGGAAACAGTTCTGTGTTTTCAGAACATGAAATCTTCCCCACAATGCACAGTCATCAGATCCTTTTCTACAGCTGAACCCGATGTGTATGTGACCTTTGCCACCTCAATCTCACTCCAATGATGTCATGCATATATATTGTACATGTGGAAATCATTAAATTATCAATCAATCAAATGTACCTATACAATAATGTATACTTATACTTATAAACTACTGAAAAACAGAGGGAAAGAGTTGTGTAAAGACTTTGGAGGATGCAGATGAAGTCTGAAGTCTGATAACCTGCCTATGACGTCACCTAAGGTATTAAGAACTTTATTTAACATGGCGACATACGCCGGAGGTACGTGCTCATCATGTGTCCTTGTTTGAAAATAAAGAATAATTAATTTATATAATATCATATATAACAATGATGAAACCTCTTGCGCTGCATCTTTGTTTTTCTTATTTAACTGTCTGACAGTATTATACTCTGCTCTATAGAAATGACTTGACAGATTAACTCAAATACATAATTTCCCCTGTGAAATAATGAATTGATCGATCAACTGATAAATCCTTGTTTGGTCTTATTAACCCCGTCCAAAAATCCGAGGCCCACATTAGAGCCTGAGGGGAGAGAAGTCCAGGCACACAGAGGCCAGGTGGTTCGAGGCGGTGGGCTGAAGGATTATCTCCTCATCTGATATCACATCATGACTCATGTTGTCAGCAGTCATGAGGTATCTGTCTACTCCCAAAGACAAACCAGTCCGGCTGTTTGTGATACCAACACAATGGAGCTCGGGATATTACGGACAATTTAGCACCAGGGAGAAATATTAATTTTGTTTTCCTCATGCTGTAGATGTTCAATATAACAAGGGCAGGCTGCATCACAGGGGGGTGATTCATGGGCATGATGTCATCGTGCAGAATAAACTCCTATTCCCACCCCGAGAAGAACGTCTGCACGGAGGAAGCAAGACGATGTGACGTGTTTTCTTGGCCGTCCTACAAGAGGTAACATAAACCACAATATTTCATAAGCAGCCACAGTGACAGTAGTGGTCAAATCTGCTTGTGCTGGTGTCTAATATGGTAATGCTATAGCGGTAGAATGGCCATGCATATTCAAGTGAGGAGCCTTAGCTCTTTTTACCGCCTCGTGTTTCCTCCAGAGCTGCACAGATACTGACGCTCAGAGGTTCAGCTGCTGTCGTAACAACCGACCTTGAGGGATTGTGAATAAAAGGAAAAGATATAAAATCAAATGAAGGTCCAGTGGTTCAATTTTCATCTGAAGAGTATTTACTTTCTGTGAGAAGTCAAAATGTTCAAATGACCCAAACACTAACATAAAGATTCTCTATTAAAGAATAATCTCGGTACTCAGTATAATATATAGTGTTTAATTGTAATAGTTGTTGAGACATGTCAGTGGACCTCCTGATGAACAGACAGAACAATCGTTCAATCCCTACATCCCTGAATCAAATTAAATCATATCTACACTTTGAGAATATTTTAATAAGCTTCAATGAGTCATATTTCTTACTTTTACTTGTAGAATATAGAAGATTAAAGATTTAAAAACCGCCGAGAGAAAACTCAAGTTTCTTGGCACCTGAAAAGTAACATTCACTGTTAGTGGATTTTACAGTTGCTTAAGTTTTACCAGTGCAACAAGTGTTAGGTTTATCCTGACGATAGCATTCGAGGAGCGGTCACAGCTCAGGTCAGGAAAACAGGGTTTATTGTTTTAGAATATATATGTGCTCAGTATAATCCTGATAATGTGTTATCTTATTTAGAACGAAAATGAACAACATCAAGTCATTCTTCCATTATTTATACGGATTATCATTTGAAACTGGGCCACCAGGGTGTTGCAGGTCATACAGAGACAAACATCCATTCACACTCATATTCATACCTACTCTCAATTTGGAGACACAGGGAGACCAAACAAACTGAAATAGACGATGAGTCTGGGTAATATAAGTGAGTTCACACAGAACATTTCTTCACATTTCATCCATTTAATTTGATACTTGAAATTCGGTGATGCTACAGTTAAAATTAGAGCGTCAGAAATCCTGACTGAATATATCTGTATTGTATTTCATGCAGTGTGACCATATCTTCCACTGTATCAAAGATGAGAGGACTAAACAGAGTGATCTAAAATTAGAAGTTCATCTTTATATTCTTACATTAACTCCTGGATCCATGTGTGTTTTGATCCAGGAATAAACGGCCTCTTCTTAAAAATCAAGATACTTGATTATAAATAGTTGAAAAGACCAAACTGCAGCAGCTCAGTGACAAGATTTAAATGGCTTACCTCCAAACACACAGACTTCAGTGTGTGACAAGTGAACTCTTTGCCACCAGTTGCCCTCGTTCACAGCATTTCTCCCTTCTCCCCACTGACAGTCCCGATGTCACAAACTGCAGAGTTTCATTACAAAAAATTACCTGCAGTGACTTTCTGCAGAGCTCAGGGACGAGGCACCGAGGCATGGACGTGAACAGAAAATGGAACATGACCAAATTACACGATGTGAGCGAAGAATCACAAGAATCTGCAGCGTCTGCAGGCCGCATGGAAATCATGGTACCGTGACCACGCTGACTCAGACCCAATCAAATCATACTCATTTGTCTTAACCCTCACATAACGCATCATCATGTCGAGGATCAGCTGGGGGACAAACCGCAGACGTGTAGGACAAAGTTCTAGCCTCAAGTCAACCTGCCGACTAACGTGAGGCTGCTCAGCTCGAAGCTTTCACCTTATTAGATGTATCAGATTTATTCTCTCTGTGGTAAGTGTGTGAATACAAGATTACTCTCCAGAAATAGATGCTTCCCTCCCTGTCCTTACCACATTTCTCACAAAGTCTCAGGAAGCTTTGATTCCTCAGTGGACGTTTGCCAGCTGAGAGCTGAGACATTTCTCAGAAGCCTCAAACAGACGGAGGAGCATCTCTGACTTGTTCGACTCTCACACTGACAAACAAGTCTGGATGTTCATGATAATCACAAATAGACAGGCTGATGTTTATTCTCTGATTCTGAAATGTGACTTAAATCAACCTTTCGAGAGTTTGTCACAAAAGCCGACTGTGTTGATAGATGACACAGGACATCCTCCGCTGCAAATAGGAAGAGCGACAAAGTTTCACACTGGGCACGTGTGTGTCATCCAGACGCAAACCGCTGCAACAACAGTTCCTGTTTACAACGTCTGGTGCTTTAAATACACCAAGACTTGCTTCTCTTCCCTCAACTCGTCAGATAACAGCAGGTCAATGTCAACCTTTACACAGCTCATCGTTGTTCAGAACACAACACTACACACACATGAGTGAATGAGGAGGTAGCGGGGAGGATATTAAGGCCTTAACTGGTCCTTGTCAATGTCAACGTTATTTATATAGCACATTTAAAACAATATGTTTGACCAAAATGCTTTACAAAGTACACGGTAGAGCAAAGAAACAGCGATACGCAATATAGCTTAATCCTAAAGCTAATAATATATCAGATATATAGATAATATGTATAGTTTTGATTAAATATACTCGGCTAGGGTCACCTAATGTCACCAGTTGTTCTCAAAACTACATATGCAACTAGTCCTTGTTAATCTTGAATAAATACGCTCGGGCCTGGGTCACCAAATGTCACCGACCTCATACAATAATAGGAAATGGAAATAATGTATAAAAACCATAAACACGTCCAGAGATAAATGAATAATGTCTTGGACGGGCGATGATTCACATCAGTGCTGAGAAAGGGTCAAAACGATGATTCATCCAGTCAATCAATGCCTTGTACAGCAGGATTCACACAGTCCTTAGCTGATCAGGTTTTTTACTTTAGGTTTTTTTTTCCACGAACACACATGCAACAATACAATTCAACATTTTCTTTCTCCTCCCCAATCAGCAGAGCAGCCTGTAATGAGACTTGTCCTCCTTCAGGGCCAGTTGGCTCTGTGCAGGGGGAGAACAATGAGTGAGCCACAGTGTGCAGCCCATGGGTGTTTCCACCTGAACCCACTGACTGTTCCAGATGTGTCAGATGAAGCCACGGTGCTGGTGTTTCGCAGTGAAGGAGCAGGAGAGTGGCCGCAGACAGACGAACCCGAGCTGCTGTAATTTTTCACTGATGTCTCTGGATCACATGCGGTTTACTTTGTCTCCTCACAGCTCCTCAGTGAGGCGGGTGGAAGCTGCTCCATCACAAATACACACACACACACACACACACACACACACACACACACACACACACACATATGATTTATCTTCTTACCTTTGCTTTATTCTTACAATCCCGTCTTCAGGCAGCGATGAGGTGGAGCTCCGGGTTTCTCCCCGACTGCTTTAGCCAGGGAGGGGAGCCGCCGTGCAGCCGCTGTCCATGTTCATCCTCCGGTACTCACACACACACACACACACACACACATACACACACACTCGCCTCGTATTCAGCCACACTCACCACGCCTTCACCCGCCGGCTATTATGTGAACAAGCCCCGCATCCCCTCCCTCCCTCCCTCCCTCCCTGCCTGCCTGCCTCCTCCCTGCCTCCTCCCTGCCTCCCTCCCTCTCATCCAGCAGCTGCCGGCCGGCGAGCCTCACACTCAATCCCCATAATAATCAAGTGTGGTGGCCTGAAGGCTGATCGTGTTCTATATCCTTCACTTTTCCTTTAAACATGTGTTGGGCCAGTGTTTGAGTGTCAGCAGACAGAATTACGATTCAATCTTTAATGACAAAGTGTCTTCACATGATTCGATGTGGTCATTGTATTAAGAGAGTCTGCATCATGACATCTCCAAATAATTCAAAACATTCATGAGCACAATATTTAATTTATGGAAGTCTCATTGTATCACATGACATCAGGTTATAGTATTTTGATTTCTCATTAGTTGTCACCATGACAACAGTCACATTTCAGGGACCCATATTAAAGTAAATGCTAAATAGGCCCCGGCAGATATTTTGCAATGTCATTAAAATTTCATCAAACACAACATACAGACAATAATAATAATGGTATTATTATAATAATAATAATTATTATTATTATTAGTATTAGTAGTATTGCTATTATTATTAACAGAAATAATTCTAGTAAGTAAAATGTGAAAATAATAAAATAAGACCTTGACCACTGGATAATATCAATACATTCAGGGTCAGATTAAATAAAACTGAAGTTAGAAACAGTTCATAAGAATAAGTGAAATTCAACAATAAAAAGAATAATTTAATAATAATAATACATCTTTGGGAGATCCACAGAAGTTAAGAAGTTAAACAACACTTTTTTGCCCATGCATGTAAATTTTATGTTTGTATTAAAATTATCTATTAAGCTTTCACTACCTTCTTGAAATATCAACAACTGTAAGCTACATGACTATAATTGTTGAACTTCATCCATTGAGGGTAACAGACTGTGTTTCTATCTTAACAGACAAAGGGTTTTAAGTATGTTTGTTTGAATGTGTTTTATTTGCACAAAGGCTTTTTTTCTCACTCATACAGTGTGTATGTATATCGCATTACACTGAGCTGTTGTGCCGGATGTATTTAGCATGTCTAAACTGTCAATACACAGGAAATGGAGCAAACACTTCAATTATCTGTAGTATTTGGTGCTTTTATATTTTTATTTGCCAAAACCCATCATATTCAATTGACTTTACAGCTCAACCTGTACAACAACCTGCACTAAAATCATTCAGCTTATTCCACATAACGTCAAGTTAACACATTGTTAGCAGGTAAATATATGTTTAGAACATTTAAATACCTGTTTAGTGGATGTGGCTTTGCTGCCAGGGCAACAATTATTTTCTTCCTGCCACTTTAGCTGCAGCCAATGGATCAGGAGGAAAGATCCCAACTGGACCCCAAGATTCAGGACATGCACTAAAGGTCTGATCAACATTTTTAACTTAATTATGCAGAAGACCTTCAAACATACAAGGGATGTTCATCATTTGTCCTGTATTCTAAAAATAAATACACTATTACTGTTCTGGCATGTGCAAATCAAAAGACACAGTAACCAGATTACCGGTGTGTGTTTCACAGGTGATACTCTTGAGTGTCGCTGCTCCTGAAATATTCATCGCTGACTTCACTCTTTTGCTCTGCTGCTAATTTTCCAAAACAGACTGACACAAAGAAACAGGTGACATCACACCCTGCTTCACAAATAAACCCAGAGCTAATTTAACACTGAGGTTAACTGACATCCTGCATGTTGTGATTAAAGTCTGCACTGCTGCTACTGTATGTCCTCACACGAACGCTCTACAATGAATTCTGTTGTCAATCAGAGAGAGAGGCCCTCCCACCCCACCCCACACAACCCCTCTGCATGTATTTTCTGACATCAGACATGAATAAATATCTCATTAAGATCCCCCGTAACCATCTGTCCAGTGAGTCTCCTCCTTACAGGACAACGCTCTTGTAAACAAAAGAATAGGATTCCCTCATTACCCTCGTTACCCTCATCAGGCGGTCTGGGACTACACTCAGGGAACTTGGGTAATACTAAGAAAGTGCTTCCCTGTAATAACTAGCACATAAAACTTCAGCACTTTAAACATGTTGCCACACCAGCCGGTAGTCAGCAAGCATAGATGTAAATTTAAGATGGTAGTTCATTCAATTGTGGATTTTATTTTGAAATATTAGATCTTCACAGTAGTTGGATGTTAAATATTAAAACACAGAAAGTTTAATTAAAAGTACAACCCGGGCTGCTGCATGCACGATACTAACTGTGCAATTTGGGGAGATGTTTTTGTGTTTTTATGCATCATAGTGTGTCTGTTTATATATAGTAGAAAGTATAGTCAAATGCTGGTTGGCGGAGGCTTTATGCAAATACACTCAAACTACACATCATTGTAATAAGAACTGAAATTTTTTTTAAAAACTACATATTACTACAGATAACTTTATCTCTAGTAAGGGTGATGCAAATTCCTGGTACAACATACAACTTATACTTTTTGCAGGTAGATCATGCAGCCACATATCTGAAAGGACGTTTCACTGGACAATGCTCATCAGATTTGGAGGAGGTTGTTTGTTCACATTTTGATTATTATCTCTGTCTATGAAATACTGGACAGATGGTGCACCTGGTCAGAATCTGATGGTTTATACAAAGGGAAAATAAAGTCACTGACCATTTGATATCTTAATATTTCCATGAAAAACACAATTGAGGGGAGTATAAGCCTGTAGTATTCCCTCTATATGGGCCAATATATGTATAATGATAATAAAATGATGGGCACAGACATGTAGGCCTATATACAGAGTTGTATTTTTATGATCAGTGAATGTCAATATGTCAAAATATGTTTCCTGGAACTAGCAGACAGCCTGGGTTCACTTTCCAGGATGTTTTGACTCGAGCACAAGGAAGTGTCAAACGGCTGCAGCACACTAATCACATTGACTCCCATGAATGAGCTGCGACTAAAAACAAAAGCAATGAGGAAAGTCAACAGAAGTAAAGAGGACTCGTCTGTTCACACCTGAAACGTGTCGCTGCTGCTGCCGGCCCACATTCCAGGTCACGCTCCGAGTTTTGAGACAGCGATGTTTGCACTGGCTGTCACTGTTTATTAAAACTTTACAATGCGGAGCAAACAACCGCATGTTAGTCGTTGTAATTATGTCCACGTGGTCGTTTATCACGTGGCACATGGTCAATACGATGCTGGACATTATTCTATTGTGGGCTGCAGCTTTAATGCCTGGATTGTTTGATCTATACAGATGAGCAGACTGATCGATTATTGACTAAAACTACACATTTTATGATGTTGATATTGCAAGAAATTAATACAAGTTTAATTTAAAGCCTGAACCCATCAGAAGTAAATGATTGGACCACATAAACATCCCAT